GTCGCATGAAGGGTGCGCTGCATCCTGCTAAGGGTGTTCGGCAACTTGTGCTTACTTCCTTGCGTGCGGATGACAGCCGCGTATGACTTACTTTATTTTCTGGTGCGTTCACTTCCAGAGGCAGTTATAAGCACTGTGTAACTGTCTCCAGGATGCTTGACCATTTCAACACAACGTGGTGCGATCATCCCCTTTGCGCGGAATGAGGTTTCTCGACCCCGCACAACATGATCCACTCGACCACCATTATGGTTACCGCCAAAAAAAAAACAGAGGTAAAAAACGGTAACCTGGTTGCCGAGTTCACGAAGTGAATTGNGCTTTGCCGTGATTCCAAGAGGCCAACCACGATGAAAAAATTGTTGGAACCACGTAGCCTCGTGCCCATCAAGGTCACCAACGGTGCGGCTAACCCTTAACGACGACACGCAAAAACGCAAATCATCAAACCCTATCGCAAGACAAACATCGAAAACATGACAAAAAAACACATCTGTTACCAAACAGAACAACCAAAGCAAAACAAAATAACCAAAACAGAACAAACCAACGCATTTGGTACCAAACAGATGAACGAATATAAGTCTTGGAAACACAACCAACGAAAACAGAAAGAAAAAACACGGATGTAATATTCTAAACAGTTACAAAAAAAATGAAAAAAAAAATGGAAAAACAAAACAAGGTTTGATGGCAAGGTAAGCTTTACGTACCCCACGGCAGAGAGAGACGCGGTAACCGACGGTGCGGCGACGCCTCCGCTAAGGAAAAGCAAAACCCCTCCTCCGGCTGCTGCCAGGCCGACCTTCCAGTACCTCCCCGACACTGCCGCCTCCTTGTTCTGTTGGTGTCAAAGATGCGAAAACAAAAAGCGTTTCCTATTGTTTAGAAAAGTCGTGGCGCACCGCATAAAATTAAGGGTGCTACTACTGCTTGTGGTATGCAGGTCTTGCTTTGCAAACAAGGACGCGATACACATGGACGCAGAGTAGCGGGTTTTGAGAGGTGATCACGGTCGACAGCCAGTCGCCAATAACATTAAACAACAACAACACCAACAACCATCCACCATCGGCTGGTCACCTGGTCTCCGTCTTGAATTCGGTGGTCATCGTCCTGTGCCAGCGCCGCTAGCTCCTGCTCCGTGACAGCCACCTGGCGGCCGGCCACCCAACGCGCGCATCAACAAAGAAAACAATACTTGGAGTAAAGGAGGGGCGTGGGGCGCACAAAAAAAAGAAACCAAAGAGACACATTCTTGCGGTAGGCGGCGGGGTGGGGGAGGGTACGTGAGTGGGGTCGCGTTTGGGTAAGAAAGCAAAGGGGTGCTACGTCTCTGTGCGGAGGGTTTCTAGGTTCTGCCGCCAACGGGATTGTTATGGGAAGGGGCACGTCTTGTGATGTGATATGATGTGGACGATGTGATTCGCCAAAACCTCAAGCAAACCGTACATCAGAGAAAAGCTTTCTCTACGGAAAAGAAAGAAGACAAAAGTCAGCAAAGAGCCGGTCGAAAACAACAAAAACGAGCCGCCCAAACCCTGGAGTAATTGCATGGCAAGGCGGCAACTCTCGGAATCTAGCATTCCATCATTCTTAACAAACTGCGGAGCCCTCACCAACCCATTCCCCCATGGTTTGCCATCGTGGTGGCCACAAAGAGCCGAAGAAAGAAAAAAAAGTAACGGGATGAGGAGCGCTAACATTTGCGGCGTACAGCAAGCAGTACGTGCGGCGAAAACCCTGAGAAAGTCCGGACATTGCTGGTACCTCAAAAGTGGGGGTACCTCTAGATTATTCGAATCGTTAACCTGTATTGGGAGTGGGCGAATGTGTTGAGCTCAGGTTCGGAAAGAGACGCAACGCTGAGTATCGAACGGGGAACGCGAGAAACAAAGCAGTCAACTACCCCCCCTACTCCCTTGGTGGCGGCCCCCTACTCTCTTCGCGTCCACCATAGATGTGATTTACTGCTTGTTTCCCCTTCGCAAGCGACCAAGGTCTTCGATACGCTACGTAGCTCGTTGTCGGGAGCCAATAGGTTCCAAACAACCCCCACCGATACCGCCTAAGAAGCACATGTAGAAGTAGACCACGTTAAGCGTGTGCCGAAACCCCATACAAACAAGACTCAACACAAAACAAGCCACACCTGCTTCCCAGACACCTACCCGCCCAGCAGCCCCACCACGCACACTGCAAGCAAGAAAAAAACGACAGAAAACCACAACCTACGATACCTGCTTCCAAGACACCCTCCCGCCCAGCAGCCTCACGGCGCGCTTCATCGCCGCCCGTGCCCGCGCGTCGTAGACCGCGTCCTCCACCTGCCTCCGCACGACCATCCCGAACGCCTCCCCGAGCCAATCCTCTGGAAACCCTCCCACGCTCGCCGCAAGCTCTCGCACCGTGGCCTCCCGGCTCACCAGGACAACAAACTCGCTCCCCGCGTCGCCGCTGCTGCCGCCATCGCCGCTGCTGCCGCCACCGCCGCTGCCGCTGCCGCCGTCCCGTTGCCGGTGGTGGCCGTTCTCGGCTCCCTCCGCCAAGCCGCCGCCGCCGCCGCCGCCGCCGGTGCTGCTGCTGCTGCTTCTGCTGCTGGGGTTACTTTCGCAGGCTCCTCCCCGGAGCGGCGGCGGCGGTAGCGGCTCCTCGCCATTGCCACCTAGATAGCAACGGTCCCCTCCCTCTCCTCCTACTCCTGCTCCTCCTGCTCCTGCTCCTCCTGCTCCTGCTCCTCTTCCTCTTCCCCCTTCCTCGCATCTTCCTCTTCTTCGAGAAGCGGGTGTGGTCGACGGGCGTGGGACGGCGGCAGCGGCGGCGGCGGTGGCGGCGGCCGTAGGCGTGGCGAACGGCGCCACGCCACCGGTACCGTCGGGGCTCTGCTGCTCCTGCTGCCATCGCTTCCTAAACCTAGCCGCCAACGACCTCGGGGGGGGGCGAGGCTCTCCCCTCCTCGCTGCAGCGGCAGAGTAACAACCATTACCGTCTCCGTTCACCTCCGCCAGACCGTCGCCGGCGGTGTTCGTCGTGAGGAGCGGGTCCTTCGCCCCTGCCGTAGAGGGCGGCGGGAACCAAATCCCCCTCCGCACAACCTCGTCGTCTTCGTCGTCGTCGTCCTCCTCTTCCTCCCACCGGCTGCCGCCGCCGCTCACCCTCCCGGCTCCGCCGTAGGCGGCCGCTCCGCCGCCGCTAGCGCTACCGTCGCGCTCCTCCTCCTCTCCGCACGCCAGGGCCAGCTCCGAGACGCTACCCCAGGAGCTGCCGAGCCCCCCGCCGCTCCCTCCTCCCTCAGTAGAGGAGCCGTAGCTTCCGTCTTCGCCACCGTCATGGGCACGCCGATCGTCGCCGCCGTTGTCTGGAGCAGCCTGCCCCCCCAACACGGCTGTTCTTCTTTCCCCGTCGTTGCCGTCGACCCCGTCGCCCCCCTTGAAGCCGCCGCTGCTACTGCTATCGCTGTCGTTGTTGTCACTGCCGGGCGGCGGCGACGGCACGAAGGCCACGGCTGAGACCACAAGGTCCAGGGCCTGGACAACGCACCAGGCACCAACGAGGGTTTGTACGGGGAAGAGGGGGGGGCGGGGTGCAGTCCGAGGCACGAAAAAAGTAGAGATAAAGGTACGAACGGACTCCTTTGGGGCGTGGGGGGGGACTTCAAACGTCAGTGGCAAAACTCTTCTAAATCGAATCCGATTGACTGGGACGGTATTATTCCACGCACCCGAGTTTGCGTCTGGCGCACTTGTACGAAAGGGCAAGCCCTGCGTTCTTCTCCGCCTCACAGGATCTACAGGATCTGCCATCGCCATACCAATCACAGCACAATAGCGGCAACCAATACCAGCAAACGAGCGCTCAATACAACGCCCAAAAACAAGTACGGTAGGCCCGAGCGCTAATCTTGATTCCATTTCCATTTCCATTTCCGTTTGACATTGTCCCTACGAGTGTGTACCGTTTTCGGGTAGTTGGCATGTGACTGGCCACGGATGGTGTCCGCGTGAGTTGAGCCGGTACGGTGCGGAAACTAGAAGGCACTGAGCAGACCCGGAGCGGCTTCTAGCAAAAAGGCAGCAGTAGCCAGACAACCCCACCACAACGAGTACTCGCCTCCCGCTGGACCACCGCGGGGCAGTCGAAAATGTCGCACAGAGCCACGGCGAAGGTCTTGGCCCACTCCGACCCCCCGCCAGCCCCCCCGCAGTGCTTGCACGGGGCCGCCCCAGCCCTGGCGACTCTGTTTTTCAGCGGAGAGCAGTCAGTGTGGGGTGAGGAGGAAGGGGGGGGGGGNGGGGGGGGGGGGGGGGGGGGGGGGGGGGGGGGGGGGGGGGGGGGGGGGGGGGGGGGGGGGGGGGGGGGGTACGCAGAATGGCGTGGGCATAGGTTCGTTATTTGGTTGTCGAGTCATTGACGGCGCACGCCCTTGCGAGTGAGGGCGTAAGGTCGAGAGGGTCCTAGAGCGTTGATGGGGGGAGTGAGGGGTCGTACTTGTCGCTTGCCGTGGTCGTTTGGCCTCATGCATATGACCACTCACCTCTCACGAGACTGGACTGCACACGGCTCCTCCTACACAATCGAAGCACCTCCAACCGTTCGGGCGGCCTGCACGTGACATACATGACACCCCCCTTCCTGTTCGGCATATTGCGGCCACCAGTGGGGGGGGGGAGTAGAAGCACAGTCCAGGAGCGACTGCGGTTCGTTCATCCGTTCCACATAAAGCTTGAATGAGTTACTGGTAATCTTCACCTTCTGGAGCAAATATGGGTTTCCGCGCACTGGGAGGCAGCGCAACAAGACAGGTACTTGGCCAGCTGGTGTCCCCTCTCGGCCCGACCCTCCTCCGTGCCCACAGCCCTATTGTCCACGCACGTCATCCTCGCCGGATCCCTGAGGAGTGGGCCAAACGCCCTCGCTTTCTTCCTACCCAAGGGTGACAGAACCATCGTAGTGGGGGAAGAAAACAAAACCAGTAAGATTTATTCCCAAAACGGCATGTAGAGATAGAAAGCCACCAAGAGACAGAGAGAAGAGAGAGAGGGAGAGAGAGAGAGAGAGAGAGAGAGAGAGAGAACGACCTGCGGATCGCCCACGTGGGCTTCCGACGAAAAGAAGAAAAAAAAAAACTGCCGAAGAAGCGGAAAGACACCAACACCTCTACCGACAGCAAACCGCGACACGATACATACACAACAACTTGAGAATTCTTCAAAAGCCCAGTAAACCCCAAAACTTATAAAGTGGCCGATTGGTAGCCCACAAGAGGACCAAAGGACACCAGCCTGAGCCGAAAAAAAAAAAGTTGCGCGTATGTGGGGCTGTGTGGAGTTATGTACGGTGTGGACTAGTGCTGCAGTCTCGCCGTCGCATTAGCTGAAATATTGGAATGATAGTTTTGGGTTCTTTGAGGTTCGCTGGGCTCTTCGAGTCAACAATGCGTCAGTTTTGTGTCAGCTGTGCAAGGTTGGGAAACGACACACTGCAGCTGGCAGACCGCTCTCGGTTAGTCCTGCTGCCTCTTGCTTTTTTATTTTTTTCGTCCATCAACCGTTGAAGACACTGACTGCCTGCGCTCTCACAAGCCCACTCCGGAGAGATCACGTGCACCAGCCAAAAAATTGAAAAACTGCACTCGAAGGACTTAATTCCACATTTTGCTGTTGGAAGGCGGCTGGCTCCCTCGCTGGGAGGGCTGACTGCTCAGTTGTGGAGCTTAAGCATAGGGCTACCCATTTGCGCGGATCTTTTTGGTGTGCACTTGCATACGAGACGCACCCGAACTCTTCAAAGCTCACACTGTCGCCACCGCTAGCCTCGTGGTGACGAAGCAGGGCAGGCGTTCGGGAGTAGACCGCAACGAACACCCTTCGCCAGAAATAAAGAAGAACGACAACGTTCGCCGATTGTCATCCAACAAGAAAAAATGGCTTGCAAGAAAGGCGAGAGGGGCATGGTCGAACATGTGTTGTCTCTATTTAGTACCGCACTCGTCGAAATGTCCGAACATTCTTGAGTGAGGGAGTAGTATGGCAATCGTTGGAGGGCGGGCAAAGCCGCTAGACCACCCAGCTGAAAGAACGAAAATGGGCTTGTTCAGAGGTATTTCAATTCGAGCGGTAATATTATACTCTTCTATAATAGGACTTCCCGGGCCGGTTACGAAGGGTGGGTTGGTGTGTACAATAGCAGCAGCAGCAGGGCAGCACCCAACTCAGCACGGACACAAAAAGATAAGCCGCGCTTTGCGAGGAACGAGAGGGGAAGGCAAGAAGAAATGCAAAGTCAAAGATGATGATGTCCGGGGGGCGGTGGCGGCGTCGCGTGCTGACTCGATCGAACACGCGGGCCAAATAGGAAGTGGCAACCTCCGTAGCTCGGGCTCTTTTTCTGCCGTCAACACCATCATCCGAGTTCAAATAATGTTCAAGCCAAAACCCATACTATGAGCGTAGTGGGAGAGAGGGAGAAGTTTGCTCTTGGTAGGACCATGCGACGCGGTTCAGGGTCGAGGGTCAGCGAATAGTGCTTTGGGAAACGATTCAGTAGCTATTGGGGTTCGGTACGAGGCAAGCGCTTGTGGCAAGCCCTATGACGACGGAGAGGTACGCGGAGATAATCATCACACAGCTCTTCGGTACATTCAGAGGGAGGAAATGGGCTTGAAGGATACAAATCTCGTACGCAGCACGCACCGACGGTGAACGAGGGGGTCAGCAGTAGCAAGGGATGTCGTCTGTGTCTGTGTGCTACGCAGACGTCCATCGACACGGAGAGAGAGCTTCGACACGCACACCCGCCTTAGTGCGTGCGGCGACAAAACTGCAACTTACAACTGCTGTAAGAGTAGTCGTTTCGGACTCACCTAAACTCTCGATCTGACCTCGACGCTGGTACCTCCACAGAGTGGCTCGGGATAACTCTCTCTCTCTCCCTCACCCGCGCTGCTACGATGTGTCTGCTTTTCCTCCCCTTTGCCTTCTCCCTTTGCTCTCGGTAAGCAAGGTGTCTGGGTGGCTTGATCACGCCAGCGGAAGAGCGGCGCGATGTGAGTACGGTGCTGTGCGGTAGTATCCCAGTCTGCGATGCCCCAAAGCCCACTCACCAAAATGTACACCACATAGAGCAGTGTCCAAGCCCACGAGGCGAAAGATCATGGGGATAGAGGGCGGCAGCCTACGAGAAGTACTGGATGGCGCAACCCCAGATGAGCTGCGAGGCGTGCTGCTGGCGCTCGAGGGTCGAGTGGTTCACGTTGGTAAATCACGTACAAGTACCTTTCTTGCCGCATATCCTATCCTTCTGATTGCCCTTTGGTGTTGACATGAGCTGTTGCTGTTGGCCTCCATGCGAATCCTCGTGCCTGTGCGTGGCGGGGGGCATGCTGCCCCTGTCCCGTGTTCCGCGTTATACGTTCCGCGTGTAGGGTACCTGTGTGTGGAAGCGCTGACCGCTTGCAGCATTTATCCTTGAATCCTTGTTCGGGAATATGCGGCGCAATTCATCATCACCTGTCTCACCGTGTCTTGTGTATTCTGTGGTGATGTGCTGCCTCCCTGGACTCTAGTCTACCGGTTTTACATCACAGCAGTATCTCGAACGGGTAGTGTTTCTACGTGTTTTCACGCATGTTCTATGAAAAACAAGAGATATCAAGTGGTGCGAGGCCGTCGTATCCTTAGCCTTAGTTCCTGCGTTTTTCCTTCCCTCTTCCAAATACAGCAGTAGCATGTACAGGGCAACATGGGTTAGGGTTAGGGTTAGCATTATTCAGAGCGGTGCCACTATTCGATATAGTCTATCGGGTTCACGTACACATGTTGAAATTGTGACACGAGATTTTGATGCCACTAGGACTCTATCGGCGGTTCCACTATTCAAGTTGCCATTATATCGGGCCACCTACTACTGTATTGGTTTTGCGCCATGCGGTCGTTTACCGAAACGACAAACCCGCTCACCCCCGCGGAACCAACACAGGTGCTGTGTCCGGCCTACTGGAACGGTTGCGACCACCGGCAACGGCACCAGCTGCCAGAAGCAGCAGCAGCAGCAGCAACAGCAGCAGCAGCAGCAGCGACTCCGCCGTTGTGCACCAACCAGCAGCCACGTTGAAAACATCGTCCTCGGACTGCGCGGTCTCCGCTCCGGCCCCGGCTACAAAGCGTGCGCGCTGTGGGGACGCTCCCGACGGTGCTGGCGGTGGTGGTCCCGCCGCCGCTGCGGCTGCCAACAGCGTAAGAAGCGCCGTACCACCACCTCCTGCTGCGAAGGACGCCTCGGGTACCGGGGGGGGCACCGCTAGCGCTCCTCCTGATTCCGAGATGACCGCTCCAGGAAATCCCCACAGTAAGAGCAGCGGCAGAAGCGCGGGAACCGACGATACGACTGCGGCTGGGAGTGACAAGGCGTCGTCGACTCAGAGCGGCGCCGCTGCAGGTGGGAGTAGGGAGGCGTCGTCAACTCAGGGGTTGGGGACGGGCCACACACGGGCGGCGGCTTCGCAAGCACCGGTGCCGCCGCAGGGCCCGCGGGGGCTGTCCTGGAGAGAGAAGCAGCGGCAAAAGGCAGCGGAGAAGGAGGCCGGCGGCGGCGGCGGCGGAAACAAGAAGGGCAGGAAGAGCAAGAAGGGGGCGGGGCAGCAGCGGGACTTCGACCACGCGCGCTGGCGCAAGCGCACCGTCGCGGTGCAGCTCATGTACGAGGGGGGAGGTTACGCCGGCTTCTGCTCGCAGGTAAATGCGGCGGGGCTGCCTTCGCGAGAACTTGAGTTTTTTTTATGTATGATGATATATATGAGGAAATAGAACAGGGAGGGGGAACGCAACCACCATGTCTATATATGATGAAATCTATAGAAATTGAGATTTTTATGTATGATGAAATATATGAGGAAATAGAAGAGGGAGGGGGAACGCAACCACTATCCCCGATTTCATGCTTCATCCAACATGTTTACTTGAAAGAAGAACCCTACGAAGGCTACTGGATATTTAGACGGTACTGGACAGCCAGACGGGCGGCTTCCGAAACGGCTGATGTTCGGCGAGTTGGTGGGAGGGGAGAACCCGGGCCGGGGAAGCCCGGAGCAGAACTGGCTGATATGCCTGAAGGACGACCTGAAGATGTTCGAAGCCAGACACGGCTCCACGCCTGACAAGCGGAGCTTCTTCGGAATCCCGAAGCCAGACTGGGACGAGGCG